TACGACATGATTACCCTACAACATGTTTAGAGAATCAAAAAATAGTGACAAAAATTCCTCTCACATATCTTCAAAATACAAAAAATCATTTTTATCTATTAGGTTTGAAAGAAGGCTGACATGCCTATTAAAGCACTAGCTTATGTAGAGGAAGTGGTTTTTTCAAGGGACACTGATAGCACATAAATAGTGAAGCTGGAATGGGAGCTCAGACCTTAAATGCACAATGGGTCTTTTACTACCGTAAATAGACATGAGAACTTAATGTCCTTGATACTTAACTTTGTTTCACAATCTTAGAACATAGGTTGTGTTGGCTGAACTAAATGGAGCATGACTTACTGTGCAGGTTAAGTCAACAATGCAGAGTGGAGAATGGAAGCAGTCAATACCCAGGGAATCAGGGGTTTAGTCAGATTGGAAGAATTTGCTGCAGGAAGGATGTAATACTTCTTAGGCGTTGTTATGAGGTCTTATGCACGATCAGTAAGGTCATCATACGTTGGTGATACTGGACACTTGTAGGACTCTCTGGAAGATGGCACTTAGTCACCCTGTGTTATTAATGATGGTATCCACATGGACTGGTGTTTGTATTGTGATGTTCGTATCTGGAGAGACTTGAAATACAATGTAACTTGCTAACACTGGGCAGGTTATTGCAGAGAGCTGGTGGCATGACAGCAACAGAGGAATGAAGCAACTCAGGATCGAGTCCTTGGCCCATTGACTGCAGTACTAGATATGCTGTGCGCATGCATGCCGTTATAGATATGCTGGTAACAATGGTAGGACCTCTAGAAGTTAGGAAACAGATTTACATTCATCAGAGCAAAAAGCCTATGATTGTTTGCAGACCAAAGAAATTGCTTTAAATTGTACAATTGTATAAAACTATGTATCTTTGAATTTATTAGCATGAAACTAGATATCCATAGACTTATCCTGTATATTCTGTCTTCTTGAAGGAAATTATTGTAAAAAAGCTTTTTAATTGTCCTTGATATAGTTAGGAGTTATGTTGATGTGGTATTCTGGAATATGTCATCCTTACATGAATAGTTAGCATCTTGAAAATCAGTCACGGTAGTTGCAGAAGCAGCAGCAGGCATGTGACAAGGAGGCTCAGTCATAGAAGTCGGAGGTGGATTTGATTCTAATGGAGTGACTGGCATAAACATAGAAGTGTCTGTTGAGGTCTGTAAGGTTAGGAAGGTGACATCAGACAACAGCTTATCCATCTTTATATTCAAAGATTTTAAGCGTATGTTAACAGCTATGATAATAGCTATAATGTTATCAAAGTCTTTTTTAATATCACTTCTGATATTTCTAACTTGATGGTCTTTGGAGAGATCATCAGAATCCTGGGGCCCTAGTTCCTCACTCTATTTGCACTCTTCATGCTACTCATGGGTCCTTCACAGGTTATACTATCTGGCTCTGTTACGAGATTTGCTGTTGCAAGTGCCATTTCTTGGCTTTCCAAAGATAGAGGTGAGTGAATCCTTCAGCACAGTGGGTTACATTGACATTATTAGTGCTTTGAGGTAGTGACTTGGGCATGGTTTTATTGACCCTAATAGTTGTAAATCTTCTTAGAACCTTGTTGAATGCTTCAAAATGAGACCTTTTTAATGTGCATTTGTTAATTAGTAGACCTTTATATACAGCATTTGCTCTTAAAGCCTTGCCACTCAGTCATCAGTCTTCACCAATGCACTAAAACCACACTTGTTATGTCTTAAACTCCTCCAGTTTCCAACCCCAACAAGGATTCTTAGTCTTTGCTTCCTCTAAACTTTTTTATAACTTCTTTTCTTAGAAGCTCATCTGATTGTCCTGTGTCCTTAAGGAAAATCTTTCAAGGTGACTCCTTTAGAATTCCAAAAATCAGTCACCATAACTTTCAGAGCTGATCTATCTTCCTTGAATTAATCTTCGAAGATGTCCCGATCTTCCTTAAATGCTTGATCCATCTAAAAAACATTTTTTATGAGGTATAGCATTCCTGTTAACTTATTGCAAAGCTTTAATAATTAGGGATGATGTTCCAAATAATTTTTGTTAAAAATTTGTTATTAACCTTGATCTCAAAATTGTTATTTTTGTACACAAAAAGTAGCCTTTTTTTTTTTTTCTGAAGGCATTGTAACAAGACTAAGACAAGTGTATTACTGAGAGAATTTGTCTGCAGCTATCCACTAATCACAGAAACATGTTTAAAGATGTTTTATTTGGAATAAACCTATGCATGTATGAACTGGAACCATTGTAGCAATACTTTTGACTTATCCTCCTATTCAAATTCTTTGAAATTTTTTGAGATGTATATTAAGGTTTAAGACAGGGTCAGCTGTATATTTTATGGAGTCTTGGTATGGCACTGTAGAATAAGCACTAGACTGCTAACCACAGGTTTAATGGTGCACACCCACCAGGTGCTCCTTGGAAACCCTATATAGGGTTGCTATGAGTTGGAACTGAATCAAGGACACTTAGCAACAACAACAATACATTTTGTAATTCCTGGGTAATTTTATCTATGTGTCTATCAGTTTGATAATTGCACCAAACTGATAGACACATAGTTGAAAGATGTTTAATCATCTTGTATCCTTATAGACTTTTTTTTTTTTTCTGTTAAAATCTGATAGAGTGTGGTTTTGTCTATCCTTTTAGTCTGTAAATTTTTGCTTATACATTTTGAGACTGTTATATTATTATGGTTGTTAGTGCCATTAAGTCGGTTCTGACTCATGGCAACCCTGTCTAGGGTTTCCGAGGAACAGCTGGTTTGCACCACTGACTTTGTAGTTAGCAGTCTGGTGTTTATCCTACAGTGGCACACCAGGACTCCATGTTATATTGTTGTTGTTGTATGCCACTGAGTCAGTCCTGACTCATAGTGACCCTGTACTGGTTAACAGTCCAATGCTTATCCTACAGTGCCATACCTAGACTCCCATATTATGTTGTTGTTAAGTGTGGTTGAGTCAGTTCTGACTCATAGCGACTCTATATAGGGTTGATAAGACTTTAAATCTTGGTGGGAGCAAAAGGCCTCATCTTTCTCCTGCAGAGTGGCTGGCAGGCTCAAATGGACCTTGTGGTTCTCACTCTAGTGTTTATCATTAAATGCATGTACAATTTTTAATTGCTGTGTCTTTCATGGTAAATTGAGGGTTTTATTCTTATGAGGTGACTATATCTAAGAATGTTTTTTGCCTTAAAGTTTGTCTTTGCCTGATATTAATAGCTACCAGCCTTAATAGAGTTTGCTTGGTAAATATTTTTCCAACTTTTTTTACTTTTAGCCTTTAAAGTACTTAACCTTTTAACTGGAGCATTAAATTTATTTACATTGTTTTATACTTGGATTAATATCTTATTTTATGCTTCCTATTTACTTGGTTATTTTGAGTTTATTTTCTTCTTTGTCATCTTTTATGTTCAAGAAAAAGAAAATGAGCTCTGTTTAGATGTGTCCTATTTGAAGTTATCCAAATATAGTAGGTTAGTAGATTATTAAGTGTATATGCTCAAAACTTGGATGAAAAAAGTTGTAGACTAAAGAGAAAGAGGAAGTATTAAGGTATAAATGGTGGCAAAAAGCATGACCTAAATGCATAGAGTTTACTATACACATGTAAAAGCATCAGTGACTAAGAATGTTAGCATATGACAGAAGAGAAATCTCAGGACAGAACTCAAGGAAATTTAACACTTTCATGGTAACTGGAAGAACAATCAACTTAAGACTGAAGAGCAGGCAGAGTACAATGAGAACCAGGAGATGATGGTGTCATGGGAACTGTGGAAAAATGTTAGAAGAAAGAATGATCTAGGGTATTAGATGCTACAGTGAGATAACCTGAGATTGAGATAACCTGAGATTTGGATGGTTGTGTGCCTTGGAGTTGGTTCCAACTCATAGTGACCCTGTATAGGGTTTCCGAGGTTGTAAATCTTTATGGGAACAGAAAGCCTTATCTTTCTCCTGCAGAACAGCTGGTAGTTTTGACCTGCTGACCTTGAGGCTAGCAGCCCGACTCCTAACCACTATGCTATCAGAGCTCCTTAACCTAAGGTGTTGTTGTTGTTAAGTGCTGTCGATCGATTCCGACCCATAGCGACCCTGTACAGGGTTTCCAAGGCTGTAAATCTTTACTGGAGCAGAAAGCCTCATCTTTCTCCCGAAGAACAGCTAGTAGTTTCGAACTGCTGCCCTTTTGGTTTGCAGCCCGATTCGTAACCATTACGCTACCAGAGCTCCTTAGATAAAGACTGAGAAATAACCATTAGATTTAGATTTAAGGCTTTGCAGTGAAATACTGTATGTAGAAACCAGGTGTCAGTAAGTTGAAGAAAGAATATGAATTGAGAAAATGGAGACAGCAATTTAGACTGATTCTGCTTAAGAAGGAAGTCGTTGTTACTATATGCTGTTGAGAGGATTCCCATTCATAGAGAACCATATAGGATAGAATAGACTGCCCCATAGGGTTTCTGCCAGCAAGCTATACATCTTTACAGGAAAAGATTGACAGATCTCTTCTCCCATGAAGTAGCTGGTGTGTTTAAACCATCCACCTCTTGGTTATCAGCTAAGTGCTTAACCATTGTTCTCTCAGGGCTCCTTTAAGGAGGAAGAGACACTGACATTTATTGAGTTCCCACTAGATTCCAAGTATTATACTAGAGCATTAACGATTTTAGACACATACAATAAATTTGATGGTTATACCTAACATTTCTTTTGGTTAAAAAGTTATTTTTGTTTTGTCCAAAGTCATTCCTACTTCTGTGTACAGATAAGATGTTTAAGTACTTTATGATTTAAGGAAATCTCTTTAATTCCTTCTGACAAAATTCTTGTCCTTTATCCATTAGACATATGAGATGGAACAATAGTACAGGGGTTTTGTCTGCCTTGTACCCTCCATCTTCTAAGCTGAAAGAAAAAGGAGTAACATGGTACCATTTTCTTTCACTCCTAGGCCCGGTATGAAAGCCAGCGGATCCAGATGGAGTCAGAGCTGGCTGTGCAGCTGGAGCAACGAGTGACAGAACGGCTGGCACAGGCTCAGGAGAGCAGCCTCAGGCAAGCGGCCTCTCTACGGGAACATCACAGGTACTTGGGACTCATTGGATGCTATTTCTCCCCAGCTTCAGCAGGTACTATAAGTGCTCTGCCCGTGTTCCTTCACACCTCTGTGCATTGTCAAGTATACTAGCTCCTATTTTACTTTCTCTCCCATAAGCCAGCACCTAAGTCTCTATGGGAGAGCTGCCTTCAGGTACATCTTAACTATGAATTTTCCTTGATGGGGACAATGTTGAGGTGTGATCTACATTGGCTCTAGAGCTCCCCTGTGGGATTGAGCTTCTTTCCCTTCCTGCTTTCACTTCTTATGTCTACTCTACTACCAGTTTTTTTCTGGTAACATATCTTAAATAAATCACTTTCCCATCAGTCCTCATCTTGGTCTCTGTTTTTAATTCCAAGATACCAGCTTTGTCCTTATCTCTCCTCTGAACCCACCTGTGCCATGGCCAGGCTGGCTGACTGGCTGTCTGGTTTACTCTTACATGTACACATTGTCTTTTTCTCAATTACTCTGCCTCCAGAGTCCTCTTTTCTTCCCTCTTAGGAAGCAGCTGCAGGAGCTAAGTGGACAGCATCAACAGGAATTGGCCACTCAGTTGACTCAGTTCAAGGTGGAAATGGCAGAACGAGAGGAACGACAGCAGCAAGTGGCTCAGGACTATGAGCTCAGGTCCGGGTCCCTGGAGTCTCCCTTCTAGAACTCAGCCCTTTTCCATGAGTAGAGCCAAAGCAAGGAATAGTGAAGAGCTGCTCCTTTGGCAGTCTCTGTCCACTGCTCAATTGGCCTCAGCTCCTTTTAGAATTGCAGATATTTGACATTCTATTCTGGTTCTTCTTATTCCCCAAGTCTCTGCTTCCTTAAAGCTCAAATCACTACTCCCCTCTTTTCTGCAGGTTAGCCCGGGAGCAAGCACGAGTGCAGGACTTGCAGAGTGGGAACCAACAGCTGGAAGAACAGAGGGTGATGCTGATAGAACGAATCCAAGCCATGCTACAAGCCCACTGGGATGAGGCCAATCAACTGCTTAGTGCTACTCTCCCATCTCCAGACCCCCCGGTAGGCTTTGCCCCTTGAGCTAAGCTTTTCAGAATTGTTGTATTCTAGATTCTTTCTTTGGTAGTAAGATTCTCTCTTGAGGGCACTTGTGTTGGCATCTTGAGTATATTCTTGGTAGCCATCTACACATTGTTAATATCCTTTTCTTTGTCTAACTGCTTATGGTGAGAATATAAATTGTTGCCTATATTTTGCTTCTTATAAACATTGCTATGTTGTTGTTGTTGTTAAGTGTCGTCGAGTTGGCTCCAACTCATAGCAACCCTGTGTAGGGTTTCTGAGGAGCAGCTGGTGAGCTTGAACCACCAATTTTGTGATTCAAACCAACCTAGTAGTGAGTGCTTATCCTACAGCACCACACCAGGACTCCTCATGACTCATTGCTATAGTAAATGTTGTTAATATATGTCTTTGTGCAAGTGTATATATGTTGTTGTTGTTGTTGTTAAGTGCTATTGAGTCTGTTTCAACTCATGTTATTATTTGCCATTGAGTCTTCGGTACTGACTCATAGTGACTCTATGCACAACAGAATGAAACACTGCCCAGTCCTATGCCAGCCTCACAATCTTTGCTACGTTTGAGCCCATTGTTGCTGCCACTGTGCCAATGCATCTCGTTGGGGGTCTTCCTCTTTTTCTCTGACCCTCCACTTTACTAAACATGATATACTTCTCCGGGGACTGGTACCTCCTGATAATATGTCTGAAGTATGAGAGATAAAGTCTGGCCATTCTGGCTTCCAGGAGCATTCTGGCTATACTTTCTCCAATGTATTTGTTTGTTTTTTTGTCAGTCCATGGTACTTTTAATATTCTCCTTCCACACCATAACTCAAATGCATCAATTCTTTTACTGTCTTCTTACTCACTGTCTAACTTTCACATGCATATGAGGTTATTGAAAATACCATGGCTTGGATCAGGCATACATTAGTCCTCAGACTGACATCTTTGCTCTTGAACACTTTAAAGACGTCTTGTGCAGCAGATTTGCCTAATACAATATGTTGTTTGATTTCTTGACTGCTGCTTCCATGAGTGTTGACGGTTGATCAGAGCAAATTGAAGTCTGACAATTTCAATCTTTTCTCCGTTTATATGAATGTTGTTTATTGATCCAGT